ACAGGAAACTGCTCCTGGAACAGTTAAATGAGATGACCCAGGCAGCAGCCAAAATGGAAAAGAAAGAGGAGAACAAGAGCTTCACTGATGTGATGGAGTACAGTCCAGACACTGGGAACTGGTACATTCCTGGACTCTGGAATGGAAACCCACCAATGGCACCAGTCAGTGTAGGGTACAGTGAGGCTGTATATGAGCTCAAGAAACACATCATCCAACTGCTGAGAAACTGTGATTCATCTGCTAAGGGTGTCATGGATTTTAAAGAGTGGGTGAAAAACCTGTGGACTGCAGTAAAGCATGAAAACTTCATCTTCAGCTTCAGAAACAGCCTCGTCGCTGATACATACACGAAGCTCTGCACAGAATTCAACAAATGGAAATGGAAATTAGAAGGAGAAACAAGAATTTCCAATTTTGGTAGAGGTGAAATAAAATTGGAAACACCTGACCTGAGAGAATTTCTCTGTAAAGCCTCCACAGATCAGAAAAAAATGTCTTTTTTAAACAAAAAACACAAGGCCAAAAATGTCTTCATCAGTATACCTTGCTTCCTGAGAACAGTTGTGCCACATAGAGTGAGCCATGCATGTAAATTATTAAGTCATAAAAAGTCTGTAAAAATGTTATTCCGTCACTGATCCAAGTTACCCATTCCGTCTCTGAAGAGACTACCATGCTAGATAAGCTGCCACTGGCTCTGTGCTCACTGGTCTGAGATCAGTGACATTATGTGCTTTGTGTGGAAACACAGTTAGCATTACCAAATAAATGAGCACTCTTATTTATCATCATAACAGATGAGATTAGCCTTCATAACCACTTCAGCTAACTTGTGTGACATACAAAACTTTGGTAATGAAAGCTGTGATGATGGTGAGGGGAATGTGATTTTTTTTAAATTGGCAAGTTGGAACAGTTGCAAGCTCCACCAACACATTCAGATTAACGTCTCTAAAAAATTACTTTCTTGATCAAATATACAAGTATATTTTGTATACAATACAAAAATAAATATACCTTATTTTTCATTAATATTTTTCTAAATAAATACAATATCCTGTCCTTGATTACTGGAAGAAAATGGATGAAGGGATGGTAATACTTTTTTTCTGTTTTGTTTTGTTTTTTAAGTTGACTTGTGTTTCTGAACTGTTATATGTGAGTTCTAGCTGTTGTGTTCCTTACATATAACACGTATGGGTAAGATTGTTCTGCAGAATAAGTACTTTGGATTACTTTTGCTAATTGATGTACAATGTCAAAATTGTCAAAATATATTTTTTTATAAGTGAGCTTTTCATAATGTTTTATTATTAGAAAATGTTTTAGAGGTGAGAAACATTCAGTAACAGTGCAACAAGAAGCTTTCAAGAATCTTTTTAAAGAGTGAATGGGTATTTGTTTTGATTTTTGTTTTTGTTTTTTATTAAAAAATTTTATTTGGAGGTTTTTTTGGGCCGAAGCTTAGCTTTCTGTAAAAGCCACCATGAACTGATATATTTAACCTTATTATCGTGTGAGTCTTTTTTAAAGTTTCGATAACTAAATGAAATACACACACACACACACAAGCGCATTTCTGTTCCTTATTTGTTTTTTAAATGTGCTACATAAATAAAATAGATTTGAATAACATTTTCATAGTTCATGTTTGAGATATTTTCTTTTCAATTCCAATAACATAATTGATATCACACAATTCAGTGGGCTGAATATGGTCCTTAGTCAATCAGTCTGCTGAAGTAACAGCTATAATGACCAAGACCCCTTTAACTAATGCTGACTAGTCAACATGAATTAAGACTGAAACATTACTCTTACCAACGTATGAGCTACCTGGTTCCTCTCTGAAAGGACTGTGACAGTAAACTCTGTCTCTGTGATGGAGGACCGTGTCTGTTTGAAGGTGTTCCTTCCTCCTGTCTTCATTTTTTCAACAGACATTACTGTTTTCTACCTCTGTATGGTGCTTTCTCTGCTCTCTACTTTATATGTCTACTTTCTGATGAACGGGAGCGTATTGAACTTAAAAAGAGACAAAGTAAAGCACTGATTCTTGCACTAGTCAATACCAGCACTGGTATCGATACATGTCTAGTGACAACATCATGCTGTGGGGATGTTTTTCAACAGCAAGGCCGTTGCAACTGGTCAGGGTTGAAGGAAAACTGATGGATAGCACATATAGAGATCTCCTCAGTGAAAACCTGTCCTAGTGCTCAGGACCTTAGACTGGGCTGAAGGTTCCCCTTCCAAGATGGCAGTCACCCTAAATTAGAGCTGGGCGATATAAGATTTTTTCATATCACAATATGTTTTTTTCATTTCAAGCGATAACGATATCTATCACGATATAAGCCAAATAACTATATATGTAAGATTTAAATGTGCCGTTGCTCACAAGTAAAATGTGAAATAATCAGCAGCTTGTTTTGATTTAAATATTTATTTCCCATAATAAGTTCAACAGGGTAGATGTACTTAAGGTGCGTTCTTCTTTTTCGGCTAAATAAAGGCAAATATTGCAAACTACACAAAAGGTAGCCGCTAAAGCATTTAAGTTTCAAAATAGAACAAACAAAACAGACTACTAAATTGTCAGTTCCACTTAGAAGCAAAATATTAAATCTAAAAATAAATCTTAGTTTATTTTACAGAACAAGAGACAAAATTGACTAACTTATATAATATTGCTTTGGAAGCGCTGTCTGAGAGAAATGTTTATGTCCAGGGAGTTGGTAACGAGGATTCATTACCTTAATTAGCTGCTTGAATCCTTCATTTTCGACCGTGTTTATTGGTAGCATGTCTTTAGCAAGACAGTAAGCTATGGCATTCGTTATGTTGTTATGTCTCTTAGCTTTTTTGTCATATGGTAAGACGCTGGAGAAAGCCAACTCAATTGACTGTTGCTGCTTCGCAGGTATTCCCCTGGTTGTTTTCGATGACGAATTAGCACTTTCAGTCAGAGATTGAACGTGCTCTAGTGGGTGGCACTGCTTCAGGTGATAAAAAAGGTTTGTTGTATTTCCAGACTTTGTGGGAACATGCTTTTGGCACAATTTACAGTGCGCGTTTCTCTGTTTTTTGTCAGACTTCAAATAGCCGAAATACTTCCACACTACGGAACTTCTCTGGCCTTTCCTTTCGACAATCTCTCCGGCATTGGAACCGTCATCTGTGTTCTCTTCGGTAACCTGGTCACCCAAGCTCTCGGTTGATTTTTTTCTAGTCGGCACACTAGAGGTAATGGGTAATGGCACACTCCATTACAGAGTTAACTCTGTAGTAACTCCCAAATTAACAAATGAAAACAGAAAAAAGGCTAAAGTACCACATGATACCACATGCACAACTTCAGTTTTAAACACTCAATGTATTCAGCTGCATGAAGAGAACATACGTTTTTCTCTGACACAATTTAATTAAAACCTGATGAAGGTCAAAGGCCAACATTATGTTGTATGTATGTTGAGCTAAGAAGAATAATCTGGAATTCTTTCACACTGTTTTTTGCCAGTAGTTTGTTATTTACCATAAAGTAATCCATAGTAATTCATACAAGAGTAACCAGTATAAATTGTGTTTTTAGTTTAGTTTTTTGCACAATTTATTATTGAAGGCTAAAATTCTTTATTTTCATACGCGTGGCTCTTCTGGTCCTTCATAGAGGCAGTCATTGTAGTCTTTATGTTACCACACCATTATCATACTTCTCATATAATATATACCCAACTTCACAAAACAAAACACAAGTCACTCACAATGAAACAAAAATAGGAAAGCTGTAAAACCTATGATTTAGTGAGCTGACTCATCAGGAATGATACTTTGTTGGTTTAGGCACATGAGTGAACTGCAGGTTGATCTAACTTCAAGCAAAGCTATATTTCTGTATTTTATTTTATTTTATTTTATGCTATCTTAGAAAAAGTCACTTGGATGAGTGACAAAGCCTTTCTCCCACTGAAAACGCTACATACAGATGAACAGAATCAACCTTTTGGGGATTTTACTCCATTTTTTACATAGACAGCACTCATGTTCCATATTGCTATATACAGAGATGCAAAAGAGGGGAGTTGTACAAAAACAGTACTTCCATTTTCTAAATTTATGGTTTTGATTGTACAGTGGCTTGCAAAAGTATTTGGCCCCCTTGAACTTTCCCACATTTTGTCACATTACAGCCACAAACATGAATCAATTTCATTGGAATTCCACGTGAAAGATGTTGCGGATTCAAATATTGGGGATGGATACAAGAGGAAAAACCACAATAACAACACTGGTCCGGCCGGGTTGAGTCAAACGATGATTTTAATGATCACACGCG